GCAATTAATTAAAAAAAAGAATTCACTCCAGGCATTCCATTCCGGGGTACATTGTTGAGGCGGAGAAGCCTGCACACAGGCATTAGATTACATTTATAAGAATGATAGCATCATTCATTCACAAGAGCCCTGTCTCGGAAACCACACAAGTGTCCGTGAATAGACTAGATCAACTGTAGAATATGGCACAACAATGAAAATGGACAAACTACATGTCACAGCATGGATAAATGTTCAACATGTGAATAAAGAAATCCAAATACAAAGAATACATTGAGTACTTACAGAGATCAGTAAAAAGCAAACTTACAAACTTGATAATAAAAATATGGCTGCTGCTGGTGGAGTTACACCTCTATGGGGAGAATGGAGGGTTGTGTTCTAGACAGGACACGCAGTGTGTGTGATGTGATGTGTGTGTGTGTATGTCATGTGGGTTCACTTTAGAACCCTTCACGGAGCTGTATTTGTGTTGTATGTACTTTCTGTACATGGATCACATACACACCAAAAAAAAAAAAAAAATCCCAAACCTACTGCTGCTGAGTCAGTTCTGCAGAAACCAGAATGTCTGATCCAAAAAAAAAATCAAAGATCCAAGGAAGCAGTAAGTCCAAAGGGCTCATGGACCACATAAACCCCAGCCTCCATGGCCCTGAGGTCAGAAGAACGAGATGGTGTCCAGCTACCACTGCTGACCATGCTGAAAAGGGACCATAATAGGAGGTCCTTGATATAGTGGAGAAAAATGTGAAACAAAACTCAAAATTCTTAAAAAAGGCAAAGTTTACTGGGGTTAGGTAGAGGCTGGTGGGAGCCCTGAGACTACATTCCCTAGTCACCCTTTAAGCCTGAACTGAACTCACCCTTGTGGATCACCTTTCAGCCAAACGACAGCCAGGCCCACATGGTGAGCAGCAGCAGGGAGGTAGCACTCATTAGAAGAATCCACCATAAGCGATCAAAAGGGCAGCATGTGCCCAGGGATAGGGCTCAGAAGGCAGGAAGAGTCAGGGGAGAACGACGGGCAGTGGCAAATAAATCACAGGGAGGAAGTGGGGAAGAACGCTGGGACACTGTGGGGACTACAGTCAATGTCACAAAACAAAACGTGGATGAAATGTTGAATAGAAAACCCATTTGCTCTGTGAACTCCCTTCTAAATCTTAATAAATATAAAGCAAAACAAAACTTGACGTCTGATCCTGGCCGACCCTGGACAAAGTTAGTGATGAGGGAGGCGAGCCTTCCAGAGGTAAAGAGGATCTGGGGCCAGGGTTAGGATGTATGGGACCCCGGAAGGGGCAGAGGGGGGTGAGTGATTTGAGGCATGAGACCCAGGGAAGACCTGCACTCTCCCACCACCATGCTCTGCTTACCCAAGTAGTTCTGCCAGCAGTTCCTGGTTTGGTTCTGGTTAGGGAAGCGGCTGTCAAAAGGGGCAGTTCGGTAGTTTCTGATTTTGCTCTTGATGTCTTCTGCCATGGTAGTGACTCCTGCAAGAAAGGGGATGGGCGGATTGGTAGGGCCACTCTGGGGCGCCCAGGCATGGCAATGTCAGCTCACCCAGGCCCAGACAGAAGAATGCAGAGACATGGCAAAGCCACACCCCGGGGTGTGGGAGTCACAGCAGGGCTAGGGGAACTCCTTAGCAAAAGCAGACCTGCTCCCAAAAGAATACACTGGGGACCACATGCCAGGTGCCTTTCTACACTCTGCTTGGAACAGCCACTCTGTAAGGCAGAAACTGTAACCATCTCTATTTCATCAATGAGGGAAGAGAGTACTAAAGGGACTTCCCAAGGTCACAGAGCTTACAAGCTGTGGGGTACTGCACAAAATCATAGGTATACCCTATAATGCCCCAAACCAACACATTGTCACTAAGTCAATTCTGACTCAGTGACTCTAAAGGACAAAGAAGTGCCCCATACGGTTTCCAAGGATGTCATCTTCATGAAATGAAGGCCTCATCCTTCTCTTGCAAAGAAGCTGGTGGATTCAAAGTGCTGACCTTTTGGCTGCCAGACAAGCACTTAACCACTGCACTACCAGGGTTCCTTCCCTCCACTGCAAAGGTTCTTAATCTCATCCCAGAATGTTTAAATGTATTCTGAATGCACGAAATCACAATGAAAACTATCTATATGAGGGAGTTTCAAAAAGTTCATAAAAAAAAAAAAAAATCAATGGAAAGGTAATGGCATTTCCCCATGAATTTTCTTTAGTCTCCTGGTATTTTACTGTAATTAATTAACGATCACAATTTTAAAGTAATTATGAATGAAAATCATATATGCAATAACTGTAATGGGATACAGTAGTATCTGTGATTTCAGTTGGTGACAAAATTATAGGTGCCACCAATACCACTGAGGTTACTGCCTTTATTCTAATGGAAATGTTAAGATCTGTATAAAAGTAGAGACACCATTCTCCCCTCCTTCCCCAATTAATTACTACAAACTCTGTGGACTCATGTGAAAAACGTATGCTATCCTGTCTCTAGAGCTGGAGCAGTTTTAGCCTGGGAATCTTCCAGAAACCGCCTCTGAATTGCAGAGAAATTGAGGAGTCGTGGATTAGATTACATCGAGGTTCACAGACACCCCCCCCCTTATTCAATTCTCAAGGGACTGCAGCAGTAGTGGGGGGGGGGGTCTAGAGCACCCGAATAGACGTTCGGAGAAGAAGTGGGGAGGGGGATGTAAAACACCATCCGATGGGATAAAGACGGATAGAAATAAGAGTAGCTTCATTCGAGCGCGATCTCGAACTGGTATTTGGGGGTGACGCTGTGACTCTTCCCACGTCCAAGGGGGCGAAGGAGTCAGATATCATAAGAACTGTGCAGCCGTCCAGACAAGGCCCGGGAGGTGGTGCCTGCAGCCTGGAGCTTCAAAGCACTGCAATCCAAACATCCAAACTACAGCTTCCAAATCCTGGTCGCTGTGTGAACTCGACTACGTCGCTTAACATCTCTGAGCCTCTGTTTCCTCACTGTCAAAAGGCCCTCTCTACCTCTCAAGGCCGGAGGAAGAATTAAATGAATTAATAAAAGCAAATTGTTTAGAACGTTGCCTGGCATTTAAAAAGCACTACAGAATGTTAGCTATTAGTATCAACAGAACAGTGTCCCAGACAGACACACAGGGGGGTCCCCACGCCACAGGCCGAAAGCCTTATTCTGTTCTCGGGGAAGCTGGGATCTGATTTCTCAGTCCATAGGCTGGGGTCCTAGGTTCCCGTGCCCGCCATACTCACCTAAAGACGCCCCTGAAAACGCTGGCAGCTCAATGTGACCCTCAGAAAAGGTGCCTGCCACGGACCGGAAGCGGAATTAAAGCCTGCCGGAAGTGGAGCAAGGCGAAGCACAGAGGAGGCTTCCGCGGGGCTAGAGCGCCCATGGGGCGGCGGTGCCTGGAAGTCGCCCTGGACCCGCCCATTCACAGAACTCCGACATCCTATTGGGTTGACTTCTATTTATCATTACTCCCAACCCAATCGTGAGCTTGCGCGGCACTTAGGAAGGCTCTGAAGTGGGGCTCGGAGTGCGTGTAATCACGCACGGTTCTCAACACTTCGCTGACTTTGTCTGAAGAAGATAGTTCTGGGTCCGGGTCTGGCTGGAGAACAAGCCTGGGGGAGAATATCCCATGAAAAGTATGTTTATTTAAGGATTTAAAGCACGTTTACTTATTGAGCACTTGCCGTGTGCCAAGGAGCACTCTGGCTGCACTTCTTCCAACACAGATCTGTTGGTTCTTTTGACAGCCCATGGCACTTTCAATATTTTCCTCCAACACCGTAACTCCTTGGAGGCCAGGATGGCCAAACTTCGTCTCTTATACTTCGGACATATTGTCAAGAGGGAGCAGTCGCTGGAGAAGGATTTCATATTTGGTAAGGTGGAGGATCAGAGAAAAAAAGGAAGATCCCCAGCGAGATGGATTGGCAAAGTGGCAGCATCAATGGGCTCAAGCGTGGCAACAATTGTGAGGGCATTGTTTAGTTCTGTTATTCCTAGGGTCGCTATGAGTCGGTACCGACCGACTCCATGGCACCTAACAACCACAACCCTGTGCCAGGTGTTTCTATAAATTTTGGGGATAACATCAGTGAACAAAACAAAAAAATCGCAACCTTCATTATAATTATTACGGGGCCATTTGTTAAGAGTATTGAAAACAAACCAATTCCTTCCCCAGTGTTACTCAATCACGTTTTGACCCAGACACCGCCTGCCTACGCATCACCTCTTTCCAAACTTGAGGCACAAATAAATAAAGATGTGGGTGGCTAAGAAACCAAAATCACTCAAGAAGAGACTAAGAGTTAAGACTTGGGTCTGCAAAAGCCCTGGCAGAAATAGTTCTTAAAAAATATATTCAGAATCTCTGTCACCTGAACTATTGCAGTAGCCTGCTCCCTCCTAGCTTCCTGCTGCCCTCTGCAATCAACCCATTCAAGTCAGATTTTGTTGATGTTGGTAAATACAGTGACCCAGCACAGGGTTTCCGGGACATCATTCTCCCGCGGAACCGCAGGTAGTTTCGAACTGCTGACCTTGAGGTTGGCAGCCCAGCTCATAACCACTACGCTACCAGAGCTCCTTATGGGAGGACCCCGTTAACACCTGGAACAGATTACTTTCCCCGTCAGTCCAGAACTCTCCCTTGGTTTCTGGTCTGACTCAGTAAAAACCAAAGTCCTCACTCACAGTGAGTCTTCTCTACGTTCTCTTCAAGGGCGACATTAGGAAAAGTCACAAATTAATGATTGGACCTGACTCCTTTACGTGCCCCAATACAAGGCAGGCATAGTAGGCCATAGGGACTAGACCTGAGTCCTTGACACACGGCACCATAACAGAGTCTGTTATGTCTGATGATTACTCAGCACGGACGGGGAGGGTGTGAGTGTGGTGGTGCACACATAGGCTCCCTAGAGTTAGTGGAAAGGATGCAGACCAACACACGCAACGGTTTGACAGGATATTTTTATTGGGTCACTGCTCCCTGTCCCCAAGCAGCACGATCCAGCTAGGCTAGATCCGGCACGCGGGCTCCGAAGCGGTAAGTGTACTTGCGCCCACCGCTCTTGAGGACGATGTCTCGGCGGTAGTAGTAGCGTAGACCTCGGCTCAACTTTTCGTAATTCATGCCCGGCTTCCTCTTCCGCTCGCCCCACAGTCGCGCCACCTGGGGCAGAGGCGGGGCTTACTCAGAGAGGGCGAGTCTGGGGGCGGGGTTGGGGAAGGCTCTAACCACTGTTAGGCGGGCCCGAACTGACGAGATGACTTTAAGGCTGGGGTACCGACGGGAATCGGGCTCCCCAAAGGTTCGGAGGGGTCTAGTGAGGGAAAGGCAGGGCCGGATGAAACTGGAGGAGACTGGGCGGGGTTTGGGCAGGTGGGGTTGGGGAGCGGCCCAACCTCTTTGGGGTCGCACAGCTGGAACTCGCGGCTGTTGCCCGTCCAACGGATGCAGCTGCTACGAGCCCCATCCCGGAGCAGCTCCAATAGGAACTGCCACAGCTGAATAGGACCTGAGACAGGAAGGCAGGTGAACACTCAGTTTTCCTGGCCCCAGGCCACGCCTTCCAGCTAGAGGACCCAAGGCTGGAGTTCTCGTTAAAGGGGATCCGAAAGAGAATCGACCTTGAAAAGCAGTCCTTTCCTCCCATCTCCCCGTGTCGGTGATTTAGGAGTTTAGTTTCCCTACCTCTCAGATATAGGTGTCCCTTGGAGCCTGGGTTCCAACCCGCTCCCTCCCTAAAAGGCTACCAGAATCTGACTTTCGGCCATCTCCCGCAAGCACTAAGGTATCTTAGCCTGCCGACAAAGTATTTCCTGGGCTCTCTCCCTTAAGACCTTAGGCCCCCTTCTCACAGCACTCACGCTGGGCTCCCTCCCTGATTATGTCTTTAAGGATCTCACCTCGGTGGTTAGTTTTGGGGTAACAAGTCAAAGTGGTACGGTCCGACTGCTGATTCGGTTCTGAGAAAGTAGTACGGACTGAACTCTGGTACCCCTTGGCAGAGGTAGTGCAATCCGTCTGCAGTCCCTGGGCCCAGGAGGTGGTACAATCCAAGTCCGCAGTCCTGCCCCACGAAAAGGTATAGTCTGAGCTCAGTTCTTGGCTGAGATCCTTGGCCCGGTAGGTGGCGCTGTCCGGATAGATCGAGCAGTCCCAGCTGGAGATGCTCCCGGGAGCTTGGGCCGGTGACCACAAAGGGGCCGCTTCAGCGCTGGTGGTACAGTTCTGGTCCACCACTCCTTCCGAGCCCGCGAAGTGGGTGGAGCCCAGGCCGGGGCCGGCCGGGTGCAGGACCTGGGAGGCGGGACTCCAAGGGTCGGAGCCGAGATCCTTCCAGTCTCCTGACCACACAAGGGCCTGAGGGGTGGGTTCTGTGAGGAGGAAGAGATTCCTAGTGAAGAGACCTCAAGTGTCACGGCCCACAGGCGCCTTTGACGTTCTAGAGGTCTAAACTGTCAGCCCCTGAAGGTTCTAGTCCCGGGCTCTCACTCCTTGGGGTGGAGGAAGCAGCTACCCTGACCCAGATCACGCCACCTTGAAGACAAACATCTCCAGTTCAGCTCCGTTTCCCTTCAGTGATCTGGGAATCCGAACCTCCAGGCGCGGTGCGTCAGCACCCCCAGTTTCTTCCTACCCTCACCTTTCCACAAACACTTACCCGTTCCCCAAGGAGCTTCTGGGGGCGGTAAGGCAGAGCCCCAATCCAACTGTGGGTGCCCTGTGGAGGGGTAAAGGCATAGCTGAATTTAGGGAAGAGTGGCACCCCCACTGTAAGATCCAGCCTCTACTCACTTAGACCTAGGACTCAGAGGGACTTCTCCCCCACCCTTAGGAGTTCAAGCAGGCGGACCCCTCCCCACACAGACACCAGCACCCCAGCACCCTGGTCCCAGCCTACAGCCAGCCACCTTTCCAGCAAGTCTCTGCTGTCTGCTTGTCCCCTTGGAGTGCCGATTCAGGGAAATAGAAGCCAAGTTCGGTTCCTCCTGCAGGTAGTAAGGTGGTTAGGGCCCATTCAAGGGTCAGTAGAGGTCTCCTCTTGGACATCCTCCCCACCTTTCAAGCTCCAGCAACCTACCCTGCCTAAAAAGCCCGTTCCCAGGGGACACTTCCTGCAGTGATACTTCGTCCCAGTTCAGCAAATCCATGATGGTGCCTCTGAATGTTCTGAGCCCGGAAAACTAGAAAGGGCAACGGGTGAGCTGGTAGTTCTTAGGGACCCTGGAATCTGGACCACCACCCTCCCTTACCTAGGACCCTGGAGAATTTCCCTCAGGCCTCCATACGCTTAGACCCAGGCACCTCTTCAGCCAGAGACCCAAGTATTCAGTCTCCAGCTCTTCGCTCACCTCTGACAGGACCCTCTGCTCCTAAGCCAGGGGTCTCAGCCCCATTTCATACCATGCACCCCCTCCCCACCAGGCCTCGGCAGGGGGGGAATTTTCCGAGACGTCAGAGCTGGGGGTTGCAGCAGGGTCGAGTTGCAAAGGTGGAGGCAGGGCCGAGTCGTGTGCCCCCAGCCTTTAGGATGGATGCCTACCCCCATGTCTTTGGGGCTGTAATTCTGCAGGGGCAGCTTGAGCCTGACGTCAAGTTTAGGGACTACCTTACTGGGGGTATGGGATATGGCACTGGGTCATGGGGGGCGGGCAAGGCAGGGGACTTAGTGTACAAGGCCTCCGTTTTGGGTTCTTGATAATGCAACATGGTGGCGGGGGATGGGAGGGGCGGGCGGAGAGGGTCTGGGGTGGAGTGGGTCTGGGGTGGGCTAGGCTGAGCCTGGCTTATCTGCAACAGGAAGTGAGATTTCCGGTCATTCCCCCTCCCCATCACCCCGCTGGTCAACGTCACAATCCGCTGGGGTAACTAGGATGGGGTGGGGTATAGAGCACGGAGAAACCCTACCATGCTGAGTTCTCCCTTCTAAGATTTAGGGGAGCATGTTCTGGGGCTGCTCCCTAGGAATGGCAATTATAATAACATAAGGAATAACAGTAATAGTAATTGTTAAGTGCCATTGAGTTGAATCTGACACACAGCAATTCCTAGCATTTTACTGGGAGCGTCTTGCTCAACAATCATGTGTGCCTTCATTTAATTCTTTTTAAGAGGCAGTTAACTATTCTGACCTGCATTTCCTGAAGGGGGAATTAAGGCAAGCTTCCTCTTTTCAACTGAAGATTCCATAGCCTTCCATGTTACAATAGACAGTTTGGAACAACAAGAGAAAGTTCAGCGTGAATTGAATAAAATATCAAAATGATTTCCATGTGATGATGGTGTTATACTATGAAAGATGTCTCCGTTAAGAGAGGAATACTGAGGCATTCAGAAGCGGAGTGTTAGGATGTCTGTATCTTTCTTCAAAGAATTCAGCATCAAAGTAAAAATGCATGCATACATGCAGCATCTACACACACACATACAAGATTTCAGATAGACTTATACTAAGAAATTATCTGGAATTAAAATTTAACTGGGTGTTAATAGATAAATAATACTGACCATTAAAAAGAACCTAACTTTCTAGGGACATTTCCCAGTATTCACCCACATTCAGTTATTAACCACATGCCATTTTTTTTTTCATCTTGTAACTATTACGGGAAGGCAGCTTCTCATCGAAGCACCTTCTCCAGAATCCCAAAGTTGAAGGTGAGTAAGGAGGGAGGGAGGGAGTGGAAGGGAGAAGAGTGAGATGCAACATTCTTCTGTTCATTTTGTTGTTCTTGGTGTCTTCCAGTCTCAGTTCTGATGTATTGTCGTTGTTAGGTGCCATCAAGTCGGTACCCTCTCAGTGACTCTATGCACAGTAGAATGAAACACTGCCCGGTCCTGCACCAATCTCACAATTATTGCTACATTTGAGCTCATCGCTGCTGCCACTGTGCCAATCCATCTTGTTGGGGTCTTCCTCTATTTCTCTGACCCTCCATTTTGCCAAAAATGGTATTCTTCTCCAAGTATCCAATGATATTCTTCTTCTGGTATTGGTGGAGAATATTAAATACTGATTATATGTCTGAAGTATGAGACGTAATCTGGCCATCCTGGCTTCCAGGGAGCATTCTGGCTATACTGTTTCCAACATAGATCTCTTGGTTCTTTTGGCAGTCCGTGGTACTTTCAATATTTTCCTCCAACCTCATAACTCAAATGCATCAGTTCTTCTACAGTCTTCCTTATTCACTGTCCAGCTTTCGTATGCATATGAGGTTATTAAAAATACCATGGTTTGCAACATCAAACATAATGTCCTTCTCCAGGGTCTGGCCCCTCCTGATAACATACCCAAAGCACAGGAGACAAAGTTCTGCCACCACTGCTTCTATGGAGCAGTCTAGTTGTACGTTTTATGTTTTTCATTATTTAAATGAGAATTTTTTTACATAAACATTTACTTTTATATAGCACCTAAATAAAAGTAGCACAAAGAGTTCCTTTATATTCCTCATCTTCTTCCCTGTTACATACGTATTTAATTTTTTGTTGTCCTTGTGAATTGAGTAAAGGTTAACAGACAAGATCACCAGCTTTACATTCAACAAATTATACGCTTTGTTTCATCTCAGTGAATACAGTCCCCTCCCTGCAACAACAGTTCTCCTACTTCCTCCCTGTGGTTTCCCTTTTACATCTTGTATTTCACAAATGAACAAAGCAAAAATATTTGATGTACACATAGAAAACAACAACAAAAAATTTCTTCATTTAAATGTCCTAAGGGCACATTCTGCAAACCAGCCTTTCTCAGTCCATGGACCTAGAGCCTGAAGCTGCTCTGTCTCTCCCTGCCACCCCCTCTGCTCTGTCTCTGCTGTCACTGTTTGTCTAGGTAGGGTCTCACTCTCCACTCATGCTCTTCCTTCTTGATGATCCCGGGATCATCTGTTCCTGAAATGAAAGGTTAACTGCTCCCCCATGGCAGTACTTCTTCCAAGACAGATTACTCATTTCTTTGGCAGTTTGTAGTATTATCAATGGAATTCTGTTGTGATGCTGTGGACTAACGGGCTGACTGTAATATGAGTTGGAACCGCAAGGTTGATGGTTCAAGCTCACCAGCTGTTTCTCGGAAACCCTATCCAGGGTCACTATGGGTTGGAACTGACTCGACTGCACTTAACAACAAGTATAATCAACACTCTTCAACAGCACCATTGTTCAAAGGTGTCAGTTCCTAAGTCTTCTGTATTTATTGTCCAGTGTTTACATGCATATTAGGGGATTGTCCATTTTACAGAAGGATCTAGAGTTGGGGGATCCACAGGACCTAAGGCATCACTGGTCCCTCTTTCCATTTAACCACAGAAGCATGAGGGAGTCCTGACCAGTCCCAGGCCTCCTCTCCAGAGGGGCTCAGATTCTTCTGCTCCCATCTGTCCCCCTTACTACCCCACTCTGACATCACATTTTCTGGTCTGGAATGAGGGTCTGGCTTCTTTTCTGCCTGTGTTATCTCCAGCTGTCTCTCCCCCTTTGGTCCCATCAGATATGAGTCAGTTGTCCTAGACCTGACTCCAGTGAGCTCTTGCCACCCAATCTTCCATGACAAGTCTCAATCTCTGCTCATCTGAGGCCCCACCCCACCCCGAGATCATTCACCATCTCTCAGTCTTCCCCTCTCCCCTCCCCTCCTGTCTTCTGTCTCCATCTCTCTGCAGTGTTCTTCCTCTCCATCTCCCTTCTTCTTGTACCATTTCTGACTGGTTCTTGTCTTCTCTTTGCCTTTAGTTCTCCTCTCCACCTCTCTCCCTCCCTGCATGTGTCCTTTCCACCTCTGCCCATCTGTCTCAGCCCCACCCCACCTCTAGACTCTCCTTATCTCTTTTCCTCCCTATTCCCAGGAGGACTGCTGTGGACACATTTAAAACCCTCCTTTCTGGTATTATTCTCTTCCTGTCTCCTTCCTTGCCCCCCTAATAGCAGGGAATGGGAGGGGTCTGGGACAGGGTAGTTAGTGACGGGGTATGGTGTGGGTCCTGGGGCTGGGTGGTCTAACTCAGGTGGGAGGGGACTGGAGAGCATTTCCTGTTGGGGAGGGAGGGCCTCACCCCTCTGACCCTGAGGTCAGACTGGAAAATGTGATGTCAGAGTGGGGCCGGAAGGGAGAAAGAAAGGAGCAGAAGGAATTCTGAGACCTGGGTGATCGCCTTCCTTGAGAGACACCCCCACCAAGTACTTCCCAACTGGCCTCTTCTCAATGAGGGGTCCTGATGGCTATGTCCCCAGGAGAGTCCCAGCCTGACCCCCCATGTTCTTAACTTGCAATGTTCTTCCTCCGGCAGGTCTCTACCCCAACCTCCTCCAGAAACCTAACCATCTCTTCTGAAGTGCAGATCTGAGATGCCAGCTTCCTGGTGAAACTGCTCTCTGCTTCCTGGGCCTTGCTTTTGCCTTCTGGATTAAACCTAAACTCTTACCCTGGCATTCAAGGCCCTGACAGGCAGACAAACACCAAACTGGGGAAGCAGAGGGCCACACAGTAGTTGGACGGGGCTGGCATGCAACAGAGGGTTTCAGAAAGTTCATGAAAAATATGGAATGAAAGATAATGAATGGATCCCCTCCCCCCCCAAAAAAAACACCAGAGGGAATAGAAGCAAATACTGCTGAACGATGCCCGAAGATTATAATCATTGCAATGAAACAATGAGTGTAAAACTGATGTTCTCCCATGTAAACTATCACTCAATTCACAATAAAAACTTTAATAATAATACAAAAGATCGATGGGATTTTCCATGAGTTCTTTGAAGTCCTCCTGTGCCCCGTTAGGTGAGCCACAGAGCCCCCAGGCATTGCCAGTTTCTCCACCAACTTTAAGACAGAGTTGGAAGAGAAGATCCAGAGGCTGACACAGAGGGACACTTGCAGAGACTCTGAGAGAGAGGAGACAGAGAAACAGAAACTCACACATAGAGAAAGGGGGAGGCAGGGATGACAGACAACACTGGGAGATCTAGAGGGGGAGAGCTACAGAGACCAGGAGAGACAGAATGACAGAATGAGATAGTCTTGGTGGTGGCCAGGAAGCCTTCTTTGATACCCAGTGGGGTCAGACTTCTCTTCAGAGTTCCTACAGCACCCTTGATTGGTAGGTTCTGTGATGTGGAATCAGTTCCAACTCATAGCAACCCTGTATAGGGTTTCTGAGGTGGTAAATTTTTACGGGAGCAGAAAGTCTCATCTTTCTGCCGTGGAACCACTGGTAGTTTCGAACTATAGCAGCCTGACTTGTAACCTCTACGCTACCAGAGCTCCCTGCGCACCATTTTAACATGAGGACTCTGGCTGTCACTGTCTGGCACCATGTCTATCTCCTAGATGTCACTGGACTATGCTAACACAAAAGGCAGCCCCAAACACGAGTCCTGGAGTGGCGCTGTGGGTTAATGCACAGGACTGCAAGGTTAGCAGTTCAAGCTCACCAGCCACTCCTTGAAAACCCTATACAGGGTCGCTATGGGTTAGCAGTTCAAGCTCACCAGCCACTCCTTGAAAAC